AAAAAGACCCCCACCCAAACCACTATAATTTTGGGATGCACCTAGTAGCATGACATTTATTAGAAATAAAGACTTATGAGTTCTGGTGCATTTGTGCGTGTGGGGGTCATTATGTTACCACTATGCGGTATCCAGTTTTGATATTGTTTAAAATTTGAGAAATATTTTTGCTTGTTGTTGAAACCGTTGTGCAATATACATCCTTTTGTATTTCTGTTATGTTCATTTACACTACAGCAAAAACGCTGGGTTTGATTATGATTAGTTTTCTGCACAGTAAATGCTTTAAAAATTACATTACCTTTGCTTTTTATGGCAATTTTCTACCACGATATATACCATTACTATGAAGGAATATATATTTATTAGCATTTACAATTAAATGCTTTAAGTTTCAAAATCTGTAATTGCAATGACATAAATTTAAAAACAGACTGATAAAACAGCTTTTATGGATTCTGAAAATATCAGCTAATATTAACCWGTTATTTAATATTTTCAGGGTTCTACAGTGGCTCCTCTTCTCTGGATGTCTATGATGGTCGCTACCTAGCCCACTCTGAAACAGTTATTGTAGTTTCTATGAACTACCGGATTGGTGCATTTGGCTTCCTTGCACTTCWTGGTTCCTCTGAGGCTCCTGGGAACATGGGTCTGTTGGACCAAAGATTGGCGCTGCAGTGGGTGCAAGAAAACATCCATTCCTTTGGTGGAAACCCCAAACAGGTTTTGTCTTCTCTTTTTTAATTGTGTGTTTATTATGCAGATTTTACAGGTGGAAATTTTATTCTGATATCATTGTTTTCTTTTGATTTTCAAAACAGGTGACCATCTTTGGAGAGAGTGCTGGTGGTGCCTCTGTAGGCTTCCACCTTTTGGCTCCAGACAGCAGGTCTTTGTTTACAAGGGCCATCCTCCAGAGTGGGGTTCCCAACTGTCCCTGGGCTTCAGTCAGCCCTGCTGAAGCCAGAAGACGAGCCATACTTCTTGCCAAACTTACTGATTGTAATGGAGGCAATGACACCGAACTGGTGGACTGTCTACGGAGTAAACCTCCACAAGAACTTATTGACCAAGAATGGCGGGTAATGAATCTGTTTTTTTTCCTTTGTCATGCTGACTTTTAGAAATGGATTTGAGCTAACAAAAAATCCTCACATATCAGCTGTTTAAAATAATAAGTCCCACTCAAAAAATCAAATTAAATACATTTTGTAAAGCACATTTAAAAACAACTACTATTGGGCTAAGTGCTTCACACAAAAACAATAAATAGTAAAAAGATAATAACAAGCACAAGACACCATAAATATAAACAATAACATACATTTTACAAGACATTACTTAAAAACATTCTAATAAATCAAAAACATCAACTCCCATGCTGTATTAAAATCTATTAAGTACAGATAGGTTTTAAGAAAAATCTTGACTGAAAGGATGGGGCAGCTGGTTCCTCGGTTTCGGAGCTAAAAGTACATAACAGATCACCTTTGTGGACCTTGTGATAACTAAAAGCAAATGATAATTACATCTAAAAGACCACAAAATATAAAAAAATATTGAAAACAGCTAGGCAAAATTTCAAACAATTAAGAAATTCAAATTACCTTTTTGGGATTTCTGTTAGGCCCTTTTCATTCTGAATGACAACCCTGCTGCAAGGTTAAGAAACCAACAGTAATGTGSATGGTCTTTGTATAGTCTTGGTGAGGTCTTCAGACTTGTATTAGGATTAAAATGGGTTCTAGGCTAAAGAGGTCCACATGCACAAAATCTTGCAGATATTATGGTTTACCAGTTTACTATAGTGCTGGAAGTGTATTGGGGTCCTGGGTTGGAGCTAAGCGGCAACGATGGCATCATATCTGTGAATTGGGGATGTATATGCACTGACATGCAGTCAAGAATTTGAAGCGTGACTGTGTATATTGCCCTCATTGCCTAGGCTACAACCCATAACACAACACCACACTGGCTGCAGTAAGTTATTGCTATGCTCCGGCTTGAGCAGCTGCTACAACTAATCCATGCTCTTTAGGCTCCAATAAATATTGCACCGTGCTCGTCCGTCCTTCATTTGCCTTTTGGTCACAAGGAAAGATGCACTTGTTATCATATTCAGGCTCAAAGACCTGCATTCTCTTATGCTGCTGTTGGTGTTTCCTGTTCTTTAGGAAGTCTGAAACTGATGTTGGAGGCCTAAAAACCTCCCACATATACAGGAAAATTATCTTGTAAACATCTCGTAAACAATCGTGATAGTAAACAGTCATGTAAACGATTGGGCACAGGTGTGACACCATTAGCGGTAGTGTTGTCCTGGCATGTTGTCATCATCTCTGAAGCATAGCTGCATCCGGATGGGGTCTGAAAGTCGTCATGTCAGAGCGGGTGCATAAAGGGCATGGTGAACATGCAGGAGAGCACTTCAGGATGCTGAAACTATGTGCAAAAACCTGTTTGGTGAAGACTCAGGATTATGTGTTTTTGCACACAGGAGATTTTCAAAATGTGATGCAGTCTCATTTTAATACATTGCTCAGGGCATCCAAAATGAAGGGGGCGTTACAATCAGATTCATACTGAGTCACAGCCCCTCACCACCACCAACACACACACTCACACATATATACACACATCCTTTGTTATTTTAAAGAGATTGGTGTATCAAAAGTATTTAAGCATCTTTCAATGTTTTGCTCATTAGTTTCACCACTGCCGTACTCACATTGACAAAAGAACTGGGAACGGTAAACTTGCAAATATACATTCATGAGTAGATGAATATTTTTTTAAATAGTCACATACTAAGCATTCAAGGACTGCGTGTGCTGCTAAATGCACTTGACTGTCAGCAATCACTTTATAATTTTTTGTTGTTTAAGTGATAAAATCTTAATGTAAATGAAAATTTATACTCATTTTTTTCTGATGCTTGGGCTATTTTTAATGTTTAAAGGCATCTTATTTAATACCTGTTAGTGAAATTGCAAGTTTTACTGGATATCTGGACGGGTTCTTCTTTAATGTAACGTTTAGTCTCTCCTCCGAGAGCCTTCTTCAGTCTGAGTTTCAGGTGACATCAGCCTTATAAGCACTGCCTCCACATGGTGGACAAACAGTTGTTCACATGAAAAAGAAGACCATCTGTAGGGACCTAGCCAGTAGATGAATGTAAACTGCAGAGTTCAGGGGTCGGATTTATAAAACTGGCGTATGTACAATTTGAGCCCAGAAACTTGCGTACGCCACTTTTTACGCCAAGGTTGTGATTTATAAAATCCAAACTTGATGTGAAAATGTGTGGTCCCTTAGCCAGCTCTGACCCATGCGTACGCTCATTTTGGAGACGTAAAACTGTGACACAGATGGTGAAGTGAGGAATTAGAGCCACACTGTGTAATGATCACTGTCAGATATTTAATTTACCTTCATCAGACTTAGATTATTATTCAGCTTTATCATCAGCTTTCTCAACAGTAATATTTATGCTTCTGCTGCTGAGCCATGAGGACCTTTGAAATAAAAAAAAACTTAAATCTTAAATAAAAGTTCCCTTGCACAACTCCATTCATCTGCTTCCTCCTCAGACGACCCTGACCCACAGACCCCTCCCTGACCCACAGACCCCTCCCCGACAAGAACAGCAGGACAGCAAATGTCACGCTTTGGATACACACGCAGGGCGCATCCACCTCGCCAGTGTGGATGTTATAAAACTTCACGTTTGAAGTCCGTGTTTCTCATGCATGCGGGGGGTGGGGGGGTTCGTGTGTGTGTGTGTGTGCGTGCGTGCGTGCGTGCGCGGGGCGGGGGTGTCTGCCGTGGATATAACAGAGCAGGCAGGAGGGGGAGAGGACGAGGAGAAGAGCAGTGAACTTATTTCTAATTTTATCTGACTTATTTAATTTTATTTTTATTGTTTTTATCATCCTGCAGGCTCTGATGGAAAATTAATTTGAAGCTGAGTTTTTTTTAATCAGTAGATTACTCTAAAGCAAAATGAGGGAAAATCTGTGTCAATTACAGACATTGTGTTCACGTGAGCAGCTGTCAGTCAGCACCTGTCAACCTCCAGACGCACGACGGAGCGTGTCTGAACCAATCACGTCTTTTGACATTGATCAGCTGACTGATTTAAATACATCTTAACATTCATGAGGTACTTTACATTGACTGTTTATGGTTGAATGTGGGCGTGTAGAGGGTAGAACCTGAGGCGGGACCTCGTGCGCAAACTCTTGACGTGCGGCTGTGATTTATAAAGGAAAGATGCGCAGAAACGGTCGTACGCATGGTTTTATAAATCTGAATTTTTTTGGCGTATGCCATTTCCGCCTTTTGGCCGTACGTTCACTTTTAGTATGGTTTCCACGCAATCCTTTATAAATGAGACCCCTGGTCTGACTATGTTGTTCTTCTGTGTTGGTCCATTCTTTTGAACAGTGGCTGCCTTGTTTCCCCGATGTAAAACTGGACACAGTCCTCCTGGCACTTTAATTCAGTTCAATTCAATTCTATTATATTCTATTCAAAAGTACTTTTTTTATCCCAGAGAGTAATTAGCATACGCAACATTACTCTGTTTGTGCTGGGGTCTGGATCTTTGGGGTGAACCAGTCTTTGTCGTAATGTGTTAAGTTAAGATAAGATAGAACTTTATTGATCCCACAGTGGGGAAATTTGAACATTACAGCAGCTCAAAACAGTGCAGTTGCAGTAACAGTCTGCCTGCCATGCCGCCAACTTAGAAACAAAGAAAATCTGAAAAACACACAAGGGAAGGGAAGATGAAGAAAAAAGCAAAAACATCAAATTATATCAACACTGTGACACACTATGGTGTTTATGAAAAAAATCTCTGCATAGAGAAAGTTTATTAGCCAGAGGAGTAAGTGAGTTTTAAGGGGGCCTGAAGAATCCAGTCCCCAGACCAGCATAGCCATAGTCCAGAAATATTGATGGAAAATTGTTCATTTCTGTGCAGCTTACAGCCTTCCCATGAAACATAGATTAGACGGGCGAAAGGAGGGGGAAGGGAGGGGGCAGAGCCTCAGTCAACATCCAGCCAGGAAGAATTCATTCAACAGATCCATGGCTGTTGTCAGGGAGATCCAGATTGTGTAATCAGTTGTTTTGGGAACAGAGAAGACAAGCAGAAAACAACAATTTCCCATCTGCTTTAGAGTTTCTGCTGGTACTCTCAAGGTGGCAATCCCAATCAGGCAAAATGGTGTGGACAAAAATTCCGCCGAGCCGTATCTCTCAGATCCTCCAAGATCAATTCCATCTGGCCAGCAAAGTCCAGGGACCACAGCCGGCCCGCGACCCTCAATAGAATCGCTTGCAGACCGAGTCCAGCTCACTCAAGACACAATGTCCGAGTTCTGATAGAATATGGCCATCCTTCAAGTTGGTCAGGCAGCCAGGAGATGAACAGCCACCGATGCTGATTTGCAGAACACCAGGAGACCACCTAGCCAATCTGTAGAATCCAGTGATCGGAGTCCAGACATAAATCCAAAACAGAGAAGAACTGAGGTCCCACCTACGACATGTCCTCCCATGGAAGAAGAAAAAACTTTGTTCCAAGAATTTTATTGAGAGACCAGCAAACCAAATCCAGAAAAATAAAAATATCCATGATTTATTATTTCAGATGAAAAATGTAGAGAAGGCTTTCAGCACCAAAGCAGGAAAAAATAAGGAAGGGCAGGAGAGAAGGAAGAAGCATSTTACTCCTCCAAGAGCGGAAAGGGAAATAAAAAGCCACTGGGACATCATGTTTAGAGAATGAACATCTCAGTTTCTCTGAAACTCCCGCCACATATGGAATGACGACAGGTTTGGGTCTGGGTTTAGGGTMTTCATTTTCAGCTGGTTGTTGACTGGAATCCTGTTCGGGTTTCTTGTCTGCTTTCAGAAAAGCCCAGTTAAGATAACAACATTGTTCCAGGGCCTGTCTTGTGTGTAACTTCTCTTTCTTTCTGGCTCCTGGGTTTGTGGGGACACTGTCTGCTCTGTGGTACAGAGTCCTGATCACTCCTAACTTGTGTTCCAGTGGGTGGTGGGAGTCAAAACGCAAATACTGGTCTGTATGGGTGAGTTTTCGATACAGGTCCGTTTCCAACTATCCTCCTTCAGAGACTAAGACATTGCAGTTCAGGAACACTAACCTGCCATTCTCGTGTGAACTTTATTAACTTCTTTTTTTCTTTATGATTTTTCTACCTGGATAACTGGGATGCACCACGGCAAGTTTACAGGACATATTTAATTTCAATATAGTCAGAATGTTACTGTGACCAGTATAAATTGTTACCTAAAATAGTAATTGAGAGTTTGAAAAAGTTGACAGGTTCTTCTTTATTTATCCTAAACAGGACTCCAACCAGCTATCAAGTAAAAATGAGGACCCAAAACCTAGCCCAGTGGTCATTAAGTATGTTGCTGGAGTTTCAGAGAAACTGAAACATGTATTTACCAAGCATGACATCCCAGTGGCTCAACGTTGTTAGATTTTTCTACCTGGATTATTGAGTTGCATCAGGACAGTAATTAGAGAGAGCACTGTGATCTAATTAAATGTCAAAAGGACCTGCTGTACTCTGTCCTAACCTGAGCCAACAGGCAGAACAGAGTTCACAGGATGGTGTTGAGAGAACAGATGCTGTGCATGAGCGTGTGTGTGTGTTATTGTGCATAGCAGAGGTCAGGGATAAGTGTGTGTTTGTGTGTGTGAGTTGAATGCACACATTGTTTTCACAGATTAATATTTTTTGTTCAAAATTTAAAGTTCTGATGTGAATCTCACTGTGTGCTCAACCATCTGGCACAAATACAATTTCTTTATATTTAGGTACAGAAAATCTCAGTCTCTCTCCTCTGCCCAAAGACAGATTGTTCATAAATGCTTCACAACCTCAACAGAGCAGAAGAAGAAGAGCAACCTTTCCTTACAGTGACTCCAGGTCCTGGCTTGGCAGAGACCCTCGTAAAACCTGTTTGAACGTTCCCTTGTCTCAGGGACAACTGGACATTGGACATAATTAAATCAGTAATTGATGCTGGTGGTTTTGCAGCAGCAGATTGTAAAAGACAGTGGAATATTTCCCTGTTTTCAGTGAGTCATTAGTACTGCACTAGGGCTGGGCGATAAATCGGATTTTGATCTTGATTACGATTTGGGTTTTCATCTATAATAAAAACATAATGATGGATCAGTTTACATCGGGCCGTATAATTTCCGTGACGTGAAAAACGTGGAYGGAATCCAGTCATGGAATCCAGTGTAAAATGCGGAATCTCACAGAGTTCACTTATTTGGGTGGGTTTCTGAGGTATTTTGACCGCTGCTGCTCCCATTACCTGCCCTTACCTGGTAACAGGCATGCGGAGTGAGCTCTCTGAGCTCCCCTCCCGACACAGGAGGAGGGGGAGGGAAAAAAAGCCGTGTCCGTGCGAACAACAAACTCGTTAAAAGCAACATCCTCCAAAAATACAATGTACAATGAACAATGTCAGGCACACATCATTTAATAAAAGGATAAGTTATAAATACTGTGACAATCCTGCCCTCTTTTTCTAAGACCAGCAGTGGTAAGTGTCTGTGTGTGTGGACGGGTTTTTCCTACAGTGTGTGGACAATTTTCCCAAAAAAAGCTGCCTCGTGGGGACCGAAGTGAATCGTGGGGACCAGTGCCCRGTCCCCATGGGTCCAAATGCATGTTACAGGTGTGGGGTTAGGCTTAGGACCAAGCTTTAGGTTAGTTTTAGGGTCAGGTATGTACCTGTGAGGTTAATTTAGGGTATATGGTCAGGGTTAGGCTATATGTGTGTGTGTTTGGCCGTGTTTTTCCTACATCGTGGGGCCCAGTTTTAAGGACAATGCAGCCTCGTGGGGACCGGGTGCTCCTTGGGCCCCACTACTTCGGATGCTGATTTTGGGTGGAGGGGTTGGGTTTAGGACCGAGGTGTGAACTGAGTTTAGGTTAGTTATAGGGTCAGGTAGGTACCTGTGAGGTTAACGTTAGGGTTTGTGGTCAGGGTTAGGAAATAAAATTATCAAAAAATGAATGGAAGTCAATGGACGGGCCACACAAGGATATAAAAACAAGTGTGTGTGTATGTGTGTGCGTGCGTGCGTGCATGCGTGCGTGTCTGCCCGTTATCTGGTACCCAAGTACCAAAGCATCATCTACAGTCAACCTATTTATTTCATTTTAGAAAAATATATATGATGCATTTTTTCTACCAATTTTACCCATGTAGCATCCACACACTGTATATAACCTTTTTGAAGATGCTGCTGTTCTTTCTTTTTTCCCCAACTGTCTCCAATTTGTCCATCAGAACAAAAAATAAAAACTAAACAAGTTCAGRTCAGCATACTGGGGGACACTGGTTGGTTTCAGGTGGAATTTAAGCCAACAGTGCACTTTCCTAGACCTTCACAGTTAGAACATTATTTTACTTTTAGTGGAATGAAAGTTCAATTATTGTGAAGAAAATTCTTGATACTTTTCTAATGCAGATCATCTTGTGCTAGATTTTTTTATTCTGGTGTTTGCATGTCTTTTTATTTTCATTAAGATCCACTCATGGATACAAGTTCTTTTTATTCTTATTATTCTGATCAGGTTCTGCCATGGCCAGCTCTGTTCCGGTTTTCATTTGTACCAGTTGTGGATGGTGAAGTTCTGCCTGACACCCCTGAGGCCATGCTAAACTCAGGCAATTTTAAAGACACACAGATTCTACTTGGGGTCAACCAAGATGAAGGCTCATACTTCTTGTTGTATGGAGCACCAGGGTTCAGCAAGGACAACGAGAGTCTCATTTCTAAAGAAGATTTCCTGGAAGGTAAGGAAACAGAAAATCAGTCAAAAATCTTATGAATTATTAGTCCTGTCTGTTTATGGTGTTGAAATGAACCACAGTTTTACACCTAAATCTTCTGACTCTAGAATTTTATTTGTTTTGCCAGGGGTCAGAATGAGTGTACCACATGCTAATGATATTGGTGTGGAGGCTGTGGTGTTACAATACACTGACTGGATGGATGAGAACAATGGGCTGAAAAACCGTGATGCTATGGACGACCTTGTGGGTGACCACAATGTCATTTGCCCTCTTGCTCACTTTGCTCGCACATACGCTCAACACCACGCCTTAAAGGCCACCATGGGAGGATCTGGGTTTGGGGTGATGAACAGTGCAGGAAACTCACAGGGTGAGGAGATACTTCACTGTGAACAAGAGGTTGATGTAAACTGTTGCAGCTGAAAAATATAGTTGGTTTCAATAGTACCCCCATTCTGCCTGAAAAATTGTTTTTGTTTGATTATAAAAAATTTAGTCTTATAATACTCCAAATTTATGATTATAATTTAGTTTTTGTGAATACAAAAACATGTTTTAAATAAATCTATTTGATAACAAAACAAAGAATGTCAAAAGAAGTGATTCTTTTGCAACCACTGTTTTTTTTAAATAAAAATAGCAAAACAACTAAATGGTATTAATGGTATAAAATACTTTAACCAGTTAATGGTTTAATATTTTTTTCTCCTTAAAGGAGGTGTATATCTCTACTTTTTTGACCACCGGGCCTCTAACTTAGCCTGGCCAGAGTGGATGGGTGTGATCCATGGCTACGAAATTGAGTTTGTCTTTGGGCTGCCACTGGAGAAGGGATTAAACTACACCTCAGAGGAGGAGAGACTGAGTCGACGCATGATGAGATACTGGGCCAACTTCGCACGGACAGGGTAAGGCATCAGAAATTGAGACCAAGCTGTTGTAACTCTAGCTAGCTCATTTTGGATTGAACTGAATCAGTCTGATTTTTTGATTTTTTTGTTTTGTTTGAGGATCCTGAAGTGAGTGTGGTTCACACAACTTTAGCCTTGTCCCACTGGATAGGGAGGTCATCCCCCAATCATAGGTTCAATCTCTAGCCCCTGCAGTTTGCGGAAGTGTCCTTGGGCAACACGCAGAACCCCTCACTGCCTGACTATATGCTCATCTGTGTATAAGTGAGAATATAGAAGTGCTGTATATAGTGAGTAAAAATCTATAAATGAAAGCACTATATGAGTGTATGGTTGGGTGAGTAAGGGGCCCAGTCTGTCCCAGGCTGATCTAAGGGAGAGACTGCACAATGATTAATGATGAATCAACTTCTTAAAGTACATGTACATCTGTCTTCCTGTTCACACCCCTGGAGGCRGTACCTTTTACGTCAGACATTAAAAGTAAAACCATCTCTGTTTATACGAACAGAAAGGCCTCGTATTGAAAAGACACACTGACTCTCTTCCTTTGTTTAAACTATATGGCTGTACAAAGTTTGAAGTACAAGATATGATCTAAATTCAATTAATCAGTCACATAATTTCCTTCACAGTGTTGACATGATTGGAGTCAGCAGGTCAAATGGTTGCCTAAGATACACTAAAGTGTTTCATGAAATGATAGGACTTTACCTTAGTTCAATTGTTGGAAGCTGACTCAGAGTCTGGGCCCTGTCCTGGCACAGGTCTCTAAAGCCCCATCTCCAGGAATTCGGTTCTACTCTATTCATTTTGGGTCGGGTCGGTTCTGCTCGGTGTGTGTGTGTCTCCATGCAGTGTGTCCCTCACTCTGTGGGTGTGATTATGGGCAGACCGTCCGCAGCGGCTTCAACTGTTGTGTTAAAAAATTAAAATTAAATTAAATTTAAAAAGCCGTTGCGGTCTTACTGTTCGGACTTCACTTTTTATTTATTTAGTTTTTGTCGTGGTGCTGTTTCTAAGTGCTTGTGTAACCGTGAGCGGCCAGTTTGTTTGAAACCTCCCTGTTATCTGCTCAGCTTTGTCTCCTTCACCTCTCTCCAGGAAGTGTTTACAAGTTCTGCTTTTTTCAAGATTGCCAAAAAGCTTAGATGGTTTTACACTATATGCTTTTAYCATGTTGTTGTATCGCGCTGCACGCTCATGTTCCAAAACAAAAGCATCTCTCTCTCTCCAGGAGGAAGTTTGCACAAGTAACTCCTTTCCTATGTCAATCAATCCCAGCGCTAATCCACAGGCAGCATTCTGCTGACGTGAAAATCGTAAGCGTGCTGTAGGCTACTCGTTTCTACCCGCTTAGAACCACCGGAGAGGAGGTTCTGAAATAGCATGGTTGAGCGTGCTTGGAACCTAATGGAGACGCACGGGGCTGAGACTGAGCCGAGTCGAACTGCGTACAAGCGGGTCCGTGGAGATGGGGCTTAAGACAGTGGCAGTTCTAGCATGAATGGTGCAAGGCTGATAGTATTCTGGCACCACGCTGGAATTCTGGCTTATCTCTGGTGAAAAAAATTAAAAATCAGACTCGCCCGGCCACAAATTTAACAGATATTTCTCTGGACCTATCAGAGACTCAGCTTTCACTTTAAATCCACTAGATAGGCCTACTAGCCAGTCAGAATTTAGATGGGGTGGGACTTGAATATCAACAATGCTTTGATGCAGATCCACCAGATGTTGGAGCGGGGCTCAAAGAAATGAATGTATTTGTTAGAACAAGTTTGAAAAAGAACTATGAAMAATATCAAAGCTGGCAGATATTATAAAACCAGTGATCAGAGAAGAGAACCCGGCAGGAGGATGTTTACTGATTCCTCCACCTGAGAGAGACGAGCTGCGCAGGTGGATGCTAACGTTAGCTGAACAGTAGCAGACAGGTGGAGTGGGGAAGAAATGAGGAGCAGACAGAAAGTTGTCTGATGACTTTTATCACAGTGACCCAGGCAACAACATCCGACCAACAGGTGCGTGTTTACTGAGAGAAAAGGTTGATTAACCACCACGGGGTGGGAGAGCACAGCCTGTCTCATTGGCTGTTTCTGCTGCTTTAGTTTTTTTTTTTTTTAACAACATTAACAATAAAAGATGTAAATTTGTTTAAACTAAGTGTAGCCAAGGTGTGTCTCTGTTTAAGGTCTGATTTGCTCCCCTCCAAAACCCTCAGTGTTCTCTCAGCAAAACAACTTCAGTCAGACTATTAAATTATACTTGAAAAAATAAAATATTTGATACACTTTTTGTGTGATTGAAATTAATAGTTCACAGTTTATTAACCTAATAAAGTAATTGCAGATATTATTCATTTCAAACCTGACTGAAAACAGTGTAGTGACCAGTAGAAGTGCTATTATTAAGATCTAACAGCAGTGAGAAAGCAGCATGATTTGATTATATGGTAAAATGACCTGCCATAAACTACGCCAACTCCAGTGTGATAAGTGCACAAGACACATTATTATTTGGTCAGGTTAAAAGCACACCCACATCAGTTTCACTGTGTGTTCAACTCTGTGGCACAAATGTAGCTTCATAACATCTGTCTGTCAGAACAGAACATAAGTAGACATTCAGATGATATAAATTTAAAATGATTTGAATTATAAAGAAAAACATTTTTACAACAAACTAAATATAAAACAAATATATTAATTTTATTTTATTATTGCTTGTTTATGTATTTTAGCTTTTTGCTTTTTCATTTGTTTTTTGATGATGGGACCTATTTTGACCTACCTTTGTGCACATGTAAATTCTGTTGCTTCTCTTCTGTGTTCCTTATGATCAGAAACCCCAATGACCCTGTGGACAAAGGAAAGCGCTGGCCTTTGTTTACCATCAGTGAACAGAAACATGTCACTCTCAACACTGAACCATTAAAGATCCACAAAGGTTTACGCAACCAGATGTGTGCTTTCTGGAACCGTTTTCTTCCACGCCTCCTCAACATCACAGGTAAATACTGCATCAAACAAGCTTGAGTAGAGTAGAGTAGAGTAGAGTAGAGTAGAGTAGAGTAGAGTAGAGTAGAGTAGAGTAGAGCAGAGCAGAGCAGAGCAGAGCAGAGGAGAGGAGAGGAGAGGAGTCATCATTGTCATTGCACAAGTCTGTACAATGAAATTAAATATAGACACGTAGAACAACAGCAATATATATAGCATATAATACCGAGACTGCTCCCTGGGTGAGAAAGGCGTCTCTGCAGTCACAAAGTAGGAGTTTCTTATTTTGTAGGAGGAGCTGACCCAAGAAATAATTGGTTTGACTTTTATGGGCATAGTTGGCCCAAGACGTGATTGGTCAGATTGATGGTGGAGTTTTAAGAAGCTGCTGGGGGCAGCGGGGAGTAGCTTGGTCAAGTCGGGCAGGAAGTAACATGTTTTTCAAGATTAATTTTAGTCGTAACTTGAGAAAGGAAGCTTCTAGCTGCACGAAATTTGAACACCATACATGTGAAGGTACAGCAGGTAAAATAAGTATTGAACATGTCACCATTTTTCTCAGTAAATACATTACTAGAGTTGCTAATGAC